CGAGCCCGCGGCGCCGCGTGGGGGCTGTCCCACCCCCCGGAGCAGATCCCTGCGGCCCTGGGGGTCGGTGTGCTGCTCTGACTCCCAAATCGTGAGGTTTTGTTTCTTCGTGATGATTGTGGTAGCGGCTTCAGTTCTTGGGGGGTTTGTTCTTTTCAGAAATCCCAAATCCCTTGCGAGTTTTGCAGTGAGTTATACGCTGGGTGTTTCCTGTCCTGCGTTGGTGACGCGCTGCTGAATATCCCTTTTCTTTCCTTTTCCTCCTTTCTCGGTTCTCCCTCTCCTTCCCCGCTCTGTGCTGGGTTCCTCCTACCACTGTTATTAAGACACAGTTTGAGTTTTGATCCAGTTCATGGAAGAACGCAAGGATCGGGCTGAGTGGGGCTTAAGTGTATGCATGGAGTTAAGTGGGTGCTTAAATACATTAGCTAACTGGTTTAAATACGTGCTTATGTGCTTGGTAGTCTCAGAGCTTCAGTAGATGTTCTGGGAAGTCCTGGCTTTCCTGCCCTCTTCGCGGAGGGTCTCTGGAAGCCGCTCTTGGGCACGTGCGTGCTGGGCTTGCTGCGGTTCTGGAATAGGCAGCTGGTCGAAGCAGGACCGAAGCTCTGTCCGTGCCTCAGGGCTGTTGCGGCCATGGGCGGATGCCACCCTCCAGACAGAGATGAACCTGGGATCTGCTGGCAGAGCTCAGCATGCAAGTTCTCCCCGGACTTCGGTCGTGATGGTCAAATTTCAGGTTGTAGGTGTCTGCCAGCCTGGCTGGTTTTGGCTGAAGCAGGAGGGGAACGGTGGCACAGAGCAGCTTTTCTGGGAGTTTAGAAGAGCCTCCGACATCCCATAGGAATAACATGAGTCTGGGCCAGGCTGGTGGGCAGTAGCTGTGCTGACTAGCGTGTGTTTTGCGGAGGGCACTGTCTGTGCCTTTGGGAAGCCAGCCTAGGTACAGCAGTTTCCTGAGATAAGGACAAGCAAGGAATAACGACAGTAAGCACATGCATGCGCACGCAAACCCCCGGCACGTGTTCTTGAGCTGGCCCTTGGCCTTTAAGCCATCCACGCTCAGCTCAAGCCCTCTGGGCGTTAGCCCTGCAGAGCAGTGAGTGCCGCTCCCTGGGACGTTAGTGGAAAGAGACCCAAATGCAATGTGAGAACCTGCCTTTGGCCTCCTTTCAAGGTGCTCCACGCCCGGACGTGTCCTACTAGCTAGAACAAAGTTTCTAGACAGACATACGGGAGTCTGGGGCCCGCTGCACCCGGTGAGTCCAGGAGCGATGAGTGAGCCTCTGCAATGCAATGCACTGGCTGTCCCTGGTTGTTTGGAGAATCAAGTGTTTTCTCCTCGTGAGGCTAAACACTCTGATTTTTAGACGTTTGGTCAAAAAAACAGTTTTGAACCTTCCATATCTTCCGAACATCAGCCGCAGCGTGAAGGTTTGGTCTGATTGGAAGTGAATTTAGACAACCCTGTAATCCAAAAGAAGGACCATGTGTGCATGTTAGTCCCGCTACTTGTATCCAGAGCTGCTGACGACAGCAAAAGAGGAGCCTGGTGGGAGGTCCTCCTCCAACGCTGGGGCTGTTGCACAGTCCAGCCTCCTCTGAGCGCTCCTGCCACCATCGTGTCATCGTTAGCAGATGAGAATAAAAAATTAGCAAAGACTAAAGTTTACAAGGGCCCTAATCCCTCTCCCCTTGTGTCTCTTTCATCTCCAGTCAAACCGGGAAAGTGGTAATAGACCTTCCTTACTAAATTAAATGTAGAGGCTGCTCCTCCAAGGAAAGTTTCAGTTCAACCGTAGTGTTTGATTTCCCAGCCACAGCAATATGGTGCCTCCAGGGAAAAAGCCAGCTGGGGAAACTTCCAATTCCAATAAAAAGTGTAAGCGCTATTTCAATGAGCACTGGAAGGAAGAATTTACCTGGCTGGAGTTTGACTATGAGAGGAAACTCATGTTTTGCGTAGAGTGTCGCCAGGCGCTGGTGAAGAACAAGCATGGTAAAGCAGAGAACGCCTTTACCGTGGGCACGGACAACTTCCAGCGCCATGCCCTGCTGCGGCACGTCACCTCCGGCGCTCACCGCCAGGCGCTGGCGGTGAACCGAGAGCAGCTGGCCTTCGAGGCGCGCGTCCACAGCCATCCAGAGCTGCGCTCGGTCATCAAGGTGGAGGTGAACCCCGCCAAGATCGCCATCCTCACCACTGTGTACTGGATGGCCAAGGAGGAGATCCCGGATGAGAAGTGTTCCTCCCTGCTCGAGTTCCAGAAGTTCAACCTGTGCCAGGCGCTGCTGACCTCCGAGCACAGTGAATATTACCACCCCAGCAGCGTCAGAGAGATGCAGGTGTGTATGCTGGGTGGGGGTCTCTGTCCTGCTTGAGGTCTGCCCGCAGTTTTGGGGGCCTGACCTTGCTGTTATCCGTGACGTTGCTGTGGTCCACGGCCTCGCCGCCCCGCGAAGTCACTTGGCTAAGTGGTGTCTGTGCACGCGCAGGAGCCCGGGTTGGAAGGACTCGGTGCTTTGCAGCACCATCTCACCTTGTCTTGCATCAAGCGTCACCAGCGTGCAGTTGGTGGGATTTTTTGTGCAGTTGCCTGTGCAAATAGGAGCCTTAAGCACGCTCTCGTGTCCCCCGGCTGCAGGGAAGCACAGGGAGGGAAGCGTGTGCCCTGCCTGCTCAGGGGAGCACCAGAACCGCGTGCAGCAGCTGTAGCTGATGGTTAATCTCGACCCTGGCCTTTGGACAGGCAAATACATCCCATGGGACTACGGCATGTCTTTGGTGTGCTTGGGATCGCTGGCCAGGTCCAGGAGACCCGGCTGCTCTGATCCCGCCAGACAGTGGGGCTGGGCGATCCGCCTGCTTTCTGCTATTTTCAGCAGAGGCCGAAGGCAACTTTCTCCAACGAGATTTTTTAGTGCAGTGTCATTCCCTGATTTGACAAACCGGGAGCACCAAGGGCTTGGAGCCGGCGATGGGGTCCACCGCAGGCAGCCTCGCGCTCGCGGCCGGGAGCCCTGAGCTCGGCGCCGCTCCGAGGGTGCGGGGAAAGCGAGCGTAGCGGGTCAGCCTTTCCCGGGAGCGTGCTCTCCTCCCGCTGTCCGAGAGCGACAGATTTCGCTGCAGGTTAATGACGAATATTTGAAGGATAAAAGCTCAAGAGTTCAATTAGCTCACGAGCGCTGTGGGTTTTTCCTCTTTTGCCCTAAACGGAGCGATCAGAAAGATCAAGTAGCCAGAGAGTTTAGAAAGGATTTTCTTAATTTTACAAATGCTTCATGCCTGTTAAAATCAAATTAATTTTTTAGTGAATCCTGGCTGTTTGCCAGTCATTTTAAATATATAAAGAGCCTATTTTACTGCAGATAGATTCAATCCGTTAATTATATTTCTCAGCCTGGGGTGCTGCTACTTGCAGCATTTGCACACACATAGGAAGTTTTCTGTGCAAACCATTGGTGTTTTAATGAAATGGGCAAAATGGAATAAAGCAGAAAGATGCCCTGGCATCCTCTTGCCGCTCCTACCTATGTTTTGTTTCTAAAGCGTGAAAGTAACTGATGAAATTATAACTAAAGAAGCAAGTTTTGGGTATCCTAATTAGCTCCCAGCACAGACAGGGGCTCAGGAGCCCCTGCGCAAGGGGGAAGGAGAGATTCAGTTCTGCTCACAGAAAATACCTGCTGGCAGTGGAGGGTGTTTAAGTCCTACTCAAGCCTGTTGGGTTCAGCCGTGCTTTGCGCTGGGCGTGGATTTCAGTGCTTTCCTGAGTCAGAATCTTAACCTGATGCTTTGAATGCGAGGGAAGAAAATAGGGAGGGAGGAGAGAATACATTAGAAAAAGTAATTTCCAGGAGGGAGCTGACTTGTACGTACAACTTTCACAGCATTATAGGGCCAAAGTTACTTTTGAGATCTGTGGCCACAACCCTAGTATAGAATACTGTTGCTGTACTATTCAGCATTTGTGGCAGTTTTTGGTATTACAACTATGCACTTTGGAATAGATGGAAAAATGAGACCCAGCAAGCCCTGAACTAATGTGGTAGGACACGGGAGCACTTAATGCTGTTAAATAAGGTTCGCACGTATACCCTTCTTAACTCTTTTCCCATGAAAGTGGGTACGCTGTAGTCCAGGGCCAAACAGCAGTGACCATGGGCTTGCTCCATATTTTAAGCTACAATCCGGGGAAGTGTTTTGACTCAGGGAAGGATGCTAGAACATTTTTAATTTTAGGCGTGTGTTTGAAGGTACAATGCAAAAGTGCCCATGTCCCGTTGACTTTCACCAGCTCCTAAGAAACATCAGGGGCAGAAAGCAGAATTTGCCAACATCTAAAATCCTGTTTTGAGGGCGATTTATGTGCACTTGAATCTAAGCTCCTTTGACTGTTGGGGGATCTTTGCTCCAAAGTCAGGGAGCAGCTTCCTAAAACGGGAGCGAAAGTGGCTTCTCTTCCTCTGTGTGATTTAGCGCTTTGAAAACACGCGTCAGGCATCCAAATCATGCTGCTTGCGAGAGCTTCCCTTGTGCGCTGCTGACCGTCAACGGGAGCCGAGTATGTGCTTGAGGGCTTTTCTCAGACTTAGGATCTCACGCTGCTTTCGGGGAGCTCTGAAGGCAGGCACCTTGCAGCTCGTTTTGCTACGGACGCTCTCTCTCCTGCGTGATTTTGAAGTTCATTTGTATT